AAATAATCGGATCGGGTCCAATTTTCCTGCGTTTTCGCATCCGTAGCAAACCGTTTGAGAGGTGTTTTGACAATTCAGAGCCACTGTACAAGCAAACGCCAAAATCCAGAATGGCGTGTGACAAGTTGATCTATTTCGTCTCGCAGCACAAAATACTGTATAACAAACAAAGTGCGGAATACAAAGAGACGGAATATATAAAGACTTAAAGATTTTAATATGTGGCTCCAGTATCGCTAGCAAAGCATCAAACTGAGCCACTGACATCCTGAAGTAACTTTGAATCGCTCAGGATAATCCCGCAGCTCCTTGATAAGTGATAAGGTGGAACTCTCCTTTCTCTCTACTCAATCTCAGGATTGGATGGACCCAATATTTCCTTTCTTTTTCTCTTTTTAAGAAGAGAGAGGACAACAAAATCATCCTCGCTGCTTGAAGACTCCATTTTGTATTGTTTTGCAAATTTTTTCGCAACAGATTAATTAGTGTGCAAGGTTTTTGTGCGTGACAAAAAAAACGCAAACGTAAATTCCGCACTCGGTGTGTAAGGACCTTAACTCTGGGAACCACGATTGGTTTCTCCAGAGTGGGGCCACCAGAAGGACCGAGCAACTGTTCTCCCTGACTTAAAATAGTCCTGACCTGATTCATGGGCTAGCGCATCCGGTTCCTTTGAGAAAAATATTGGGCAACGAGAGCTGTCTTCTGAAGCCGACAGGTTGACCTCTGCCTTCCCGAAGACCTCCAAGATCATTTGAACTGTTTTGGGGTGGAGTCTCCATTCCCCTGCAGATATGCCCACTCCCTGGTTCAACATGTCCATCAAGTGCACTGCCTTTAGTGTGCCCATATGAGGAAGCGCCTCACCAACTTCTATAGAGGCCACGACCTGACACCACCTTGGTGGTTTATGTAGGCCACCACTGTCATGATGTCGGAATGGACCAGGATGTGGTGCCTCTTTAGGGCTGACAGGAGGGTTTTGAGAGCCAGGACAAACGCTATCATTTCCAGGCTGTTTATATGTCTGCTGGCCTAGTTGGAACCTGAGTTGAAAGCATCTGTCATCATGACCACCTTCCTTCTGGAAACCAGTCCCAGCTGAGTACCTGTCTGATACAGGCGAGGGGCCTTCCAAGGGGCCACAGCTGTGAGTCACCTTGAGGCAGAGGCATCCCAGATGCCAAGCACAGGACGGGACATTCAGCCAGTACTGAAGGGGCTGCAAATAAAGCGGAACTACTGAGGACGTGGCTACCGTCAGGCCCAGCATCCTTTGGAAAGTCCTGAGGGGAAGAGAACATTCAGCGATCATTCCGAGCCAGGCCCGCATCTGGGCTTAATCGAGATGTGTCCCCAGGAAAGTGATTCACTGCCTTGGAGACAGGGAGTTTTTATTGACCCTGATTCCAAGTGACTGAGGAGCAATGACCTGTGGGCACAAAAGTCATGCTCCGAGTCCGACTGGGTCTTTCTTAGAGGGGAGAGTGCCACATCCACGCACTTCATAAAGGTGTGTGGTGCCAGAGACAGTCGCAAACGGGAGGACTGTATACTGTCAAACCACCCCTCAAACGTGAATCTCAAGAATGGTCTGTGATGAGGGGCTATCTGGATATTAAAATAAGCAGTGCCAACTTATAGTAGCAGATGGCCCTGCCCGTTTTGGCAGGCTGAAATGGCATTTATTCGTGCAGCTTCAAGAAAGATATTAAATCAGGCTTCAGTATTTCTGAAGCCTGATTTAGAGCTTTTTCACATTTGGCTCCCAAACTCTGGAATAGCCTTCCTGATAACTTTCGGGGTTCAGACACACTCTCTCTGTTTAAATTTAGATTAAGGCACATCTCTATAGCCAAGCATTCACATTGATCAAATGCACATTATCATTCTTTTGCTTGGTTGGAACAGCAGCTACGCTAATTATGTCTCTATTTGTTTCTCTGTTTCTGCCGCGGGATTGGCATCCCGTGGTAACTAGGAATTACACAAGCTTCACCGAACCCACTGGCTGCCCACTGCTCCGGGTGTGTGTTCACGGTGTGTGTGTTCACTGCTGTGTGTGTGCACTTAGGATGGGTTAAATGCAGAGCACTAATTCCTAGTATGGGTCACCATACTTGGCCACATGTCACTTCACTTCACTTCACTTCACTTACAAAGACCCGAGATGACCGAACACCTGAAAAGAGATGATGCCAACCCCTCAGAAGACCTCAGTTGATACTAACCCTGGAACAACATACAGAACTACCAAATTTTGCTATAAGTTTAATCACAACATATAATCACTGCTGTTAATAGTATTCACCATCTGTTTGATTACATGTCATTAACTAACTGCATGATTTTTACTGTAGATTTCTGCCATATGGACATCAACTTGACCACTGATAAGCTACTAGCACTTTATTTTATAGTACGTGTACTTCCCTGGTACATACATGGCAAATATCTTTTACCTACAGGCAAATGAGTGGTAACACAAGGTACTTACCTGAAATGTATGTACATGGTAACAAATAAGAAACACGGACTATATGGGTCTTATGCAAATTCACTAATCCTGAAGCACTCATATTACATCTTAGAAGCTGTTGCACGTTTGAGCACAAATGTTCTACAAATGAACTAGTGAATGAAGTGTTTGCATTGTGCAAAGCACCAAATTATGTTGCCATTTCTGCCTGAATGAACATTCATTTACACCAACTGAACACTGAGTGCATTGCCAACACATTTTATGTGATATTTCAGGGTCATATGAACCGATTAACTCTGGATAATATCTTTATATAAACATTAATACACTTTAAAAATTTTGATTTTCAAATGCATTGTGCTGCATCTACCCTTCATTTGTAGATCTGTAAAGACCTGCTAGGGCCAAAATGAAAAATTGTTATTTTCTCATGCTCATTCCATTTCAGATGTGACTTTCTTTATTCTGTTGATAGTTCACCCAGTTCAGTCTTCTGAAGTCACATGGTACAGTAGATTTAAATGGTTGAGTGGTTATCAAATAAAAATAAAGTCGCTATCCCACTGTAGTTGTCAAAACTTATTCATGCATTTGTGCATAATGTCAATGTGAAGTAAAATGGACCCTATTCACAGCTTTAAATTAGGGCATATCATCTCTGTTGAAAATGTCAAATATATTTTTATGTTTTATCTGATCAAATAACCTCTGAAAAGAGCTGATGTCACATAACCCTTTTCATCCTCCCACATTTCTTTCAGTTGAATACCCTGTTTAACTCGGGTATAAGTGGGTTGGAAATGGAATTTCATGTTTACCTTGAGATACAATAGGTCTGACATCAAACACCTTAGTTTAGCTCAATTTCCCCTCTCATTGTAAGCGATTCATCAGTGCATCTTAGACCAAAGGGGGAAAAAAGGTTGTATTCATAATCTTTTGTCAAAATGTAGTAACTTGCTGAAATTACTTTTCTTTGTCAGCTGAAGTCCCAATTCCTCTTATCCAGTTTCTCACCAGACAAATCCCTACACTTTTCCTCATTGCATATCCAATTTTATTGACATGAAGTACAATGGATTGCAAATATTTCATGTTATTGCATGTGCTTTTAGAGAAACACAAGTATGGTGAATTCTGTGACAGATGTGCATAGGTACGTTGGCACTTTTGCACACTCAAAAAAATAAGGAACATTGTAATGTATATAAAAAGGGTTTTCGGTTGCAGTCTGAGGAAAGGAATTCTCCAAATAATTGGGGAGAGCAAATGGATCATTGAAAAGCCCAAATGAGTGGACTACTTATTCTGTCATTTGTTTGTTTTGTAATGTTGGCTTCAGCAGTTCTTCTAGAAGCCATGAATCCTACTGAAACCTAACACGTATATTTTGGTATATTTTGCATAACCTCCAGCTTTCAGTTATTGCGACAGACGGGAGCCATAACGCTCTGCTGACACGTGATGCATCTGCAAGCATGTCAGGCCGTTGAGAAAACTTGTTCGGCAGCATGTCGCCAACAAAACAGTCGTGCACCAAAACAGTTTTGATTGCAGCATAGCTCCAGGGGGAAATAGATTTCAGACAACCACGAGAATATATAAATGTTTCCCTGTTACTTTCTATTAAATTTCTGACGCATTTAATGAAACACGTAAACGTGCTCTTGCTGCTGCACAGACGAATTTGCATGCATTTTACTGTTGGTCAAATCGCTCCAAGATGGTTCCTGATTATGTCCAAAAAAAGGAAGATAAGATCACCGTGACCACACGAAAAAATTTTCATGTCAGGTTGATCCATTTCTTGTACAAAGACCGAAAGAGAACATAATTTGTCTGAGTTTATTAAGCTGGGCTGTATCAGTTAAATCAGCTAAACTGGAGTTTTAATGTTTGATGATACATTTATTTAAAGCACAGAATTGCTGATCCTGGTTTATAACTGTTCCAAGTTCAGCGGTACAATACAAATACAAGTCTACTGAAGCAGGTCTTTATACAAAAATATAACATGTTTACATATTTTCTCCTTCTTCAGATGTCATCTGCTGGAGAATTTCTTATCTTCAGTCAGCAATGTACATAGCTTGAGGGAGTGCTTACTGTATATTTATTGCTGCCTTCAGCTGCCAGAATGATCATATTTACAAAGTAAGCACATACTTTATGAACAGCACCATAAATGTCACAGTTACCAGTAGGCGTTATTTGAGTCCAGACTTTCCAGGTCTTTGTTGGGAGTTCATTTCATTCTGTACATTTATTCATTTAGCAGACACTTTTATCCAAAGCGACTTACAACTGAGGAAAACAACAAGCAATTCATCATTAAGAGGACACAGGAAGTGCTTATAATACAAAGTTTCAGGCATTGTTCAGATTAGTACAAGCTAAACGGGGAGGAATAAAGAAAGAGAAAGCAAAGGTTTTTTGTATTTAAGATGGAAGTCAAATGGTGACAAAAAAGACGAGTTTTCAAGTTTCAAGTACATGTTTTACCTCATTTGTAAGTTACTTTGGCTAAAGGTGTCGGTAAATTAATACAGCAAGTGATTCACATTAAGCAGGCAATAACACAAACAGTGCTAACAATATGAAGTTTCAAGCATCGTCTAGAATAGTACAAGCTAGAACAAGGACGGATTGAACCTGTTCGAAATCACTTGATCAGAAACGGTGGGGCCTTCAAAGCCACAGGCTGCTCGAGATAACAGCAGTGGTCAAATGAAGCTGAACACCAGGGACATAGAGCGCAGAGTTCATTTGTCACGTACAGCGCCAGCGATTTACCAGGAACTTGACAGGAAGACAGCGTGAGTCTGAGTTTGATGTTTCTGCCCCCTGCTGGACAGATCTGCCCCGGCCCGGAGAGAGCCAGCACTGTCTGTCTGTGAATCACCTCTGCCTTCTCACTGCGGACAGCACGAGTTCAGTCAGAGCGAAACGGCTTCATCCGATCAGCAGGCTCCTAGTAGCTCTGGTGCAGAATGTTTCTTTGAACACTCCTTTCTGGACAAACACGCTGATACCACTTTACCTCGCCGCTTTTTTTGCCTCCGCGTCTTTCGCTTTGTACCGCCAACTGATTTGCGTGAGGACTTGGGAACGCTCGGCACAGTAAGTCCCGCCTTTAGTCTTGGCGCGAGCTGACGCCACATGAAGAGCGACAGCGCTTTGGACAGAAGACGGGGCCAACATCGCCCACTCCCTTGGGCTCTTGTGGGCTCTCCCAAGTCGTGTAGTAAAGAAGACAGGTCCTTCGGGAGACAGTACTTTGGGACACAGCGGAGCTGTTTTGGGATGTAAGTGCGGCTGCTGTTGTTGTTGTTAAGACCCTGGAAGCACACCAGTCCAAACCCCCTGGCGTGGCCATCGCTGTGTAATCCCGTCCACAGACAGGAGAGGGCGGCGTTGAACACAGGAGCCGTGATAGAAGACGACTCCACTGGCTTCTCCATCCATTCTCCATCACAGCTCTTCTGCTCTTCCTCGTCAACAGCACTGTACAGCCCAGTCTCAGAGAACTCCGATCCAGCGACCCTATTGCTCTTCACCCGTCTCAGAAAAGCCTGATGGGCGTCAGGGCTCCAGGCGATCAGGACGAGACCGCCCGCCTTCTGCACCGCCTGACACTGTCCGTACAGCCACGGCACGGGTCCCAGCTGAGCCAGAGAGGACGCCCACTGCGCCAGCCTCACGTCCATGAAGAGCTCCCCCTGCAGGCCGGAGGCTAGACTGCAGACGGCAGCGATGTGCGCGGCATGATCAGACGAGCAGACCAGCAGCACGGGACGTCTTTCAGCGCTCCACCACACTGCAGAAACAAAGACATTTGTGACCCTGGAGCACAAAACCAGGCATAAGCAGCACAGGTATATTTGTAGTAAATATACGATCGGTCCAAATTATCGATTTTTCTTTTATGCCAAAAATCATTAGGATATTAAGTAAAGATCATGTTCCATCAAGATATTTAGTAAATTTCCTACCGTAAATATATAAAAACTTATTTTTTGATTAGTAATATGCATTGCTAAGAACTTCATTTGGACAACTTTAAAGGCGATTTTCTCAATATTTTGATTTTTTTTGCACCCTCAGATGGAAAGCTTAATTATTCAGCTTTCAGATGATGTATAAATTTCAATTTCAAAAAATTGACCCTTATGACTGATTTTGTGGTCCAGGGTTGGTCCAAATTAACCAAGATCATATAAACATTTTGAACATATTGGCCTTTGATGCAAGTTCATTTCAAAGTCCTCTGTTTTTTTTATGTAACATGCTTCAGTTACTTAATGTTGACACATTTTCCAAGTTAAATAAACATTACTTACACTAACATTACTTTCACCAACTGAATGCTTAATTATAAAACATTACATATCATGTTTTTCTGGTTTGATTTTGAAGTGACAAAGCAGTCATCTAACTGGTTGAGTTTACGAGAGAGTGGAACAGACAAAAAAAACAAAGAGAAGTGGGATTTATTGCGAGAACAGCGTAATAGGCCAATCATAGTGCAATAGAGGCACTACCTCCTCCCACGTGACCTTTCCCCCATTAATTCTCATTTACCCTCCATCAAACCCACTGCACACTTTAGAGGCTCTGTTAAAACTCAGTGGGCTCAGGGGAGGCACGTGATTTTAACTGCTGGTGTTGCTATTGCACAGTGTCACTTTAGAAAAACAAGTTATTTAAACACATTTTAAAAGTCATTATTTGCATTATCATTGTCCAATTTTTCAAGGAATTATTTTTTCTGCCTCCCTTGCCGCCCCACAGGTCTACTATGGGCATGGTGGAGCAACAATTTGAAGAGAATCTGTTTAACAGTTAGTTAAACTATCGATAGGTTCATAGCGAACTACTTGAATAACACATCTGGTTTAACAGCACAGATATTACAATGTAACTCACTAAGCTGAGGGTTGTTACCACAATCACAATGCAATAGTGTATATTACATACATACAACAGTGTGCTTTTCAATGCGTTTACTAAGCTTTTGTATACGAGTGCTCGTATAGACTTCTTTAGTACTTGTTTCTGGCCAAAAATCATTAAGAAATGTCTATGGACTGACCTGATGTGCTTCTTTTGACCAGGTAGCATGTGATGCAGACCAGTACGGTCACCGCAGCCAGAAGAGCCAATGCAGTGCCAGTGATGAGACCCCATCGCCTGTGTGTGACTGTGAAGGTCCAGGATGAGTGCTACTATTTAAAGTGTGCTCTAATGATTATAGATGTTTCTACTTACAGTCAGGGCAAATGATTCGTCTTCCACGGAGATCCAAGCGCCACACCTACAGACAGACAGCAGCAGATCAAATTTTGAACAGTAGTGTTTACTGCCTACCATTTATAAACCATTGTTTGTGAAACAGTGGTGTGCTACATGGTCACAGGTCATCAACTCAGAAATAAAGTTATTTTGTATAAACGTTTATTAATTTTTGTGCAAAAACAAAAACTCCGCTCCTCTGAGTTAAGGAAGAGCTGTTAAATGTAGTGTCTGATATCACTGCTGCTTCATTCGTGCACTGTGGGACACAGCACAGTGTGCAGAAACAGTACGAGTACTAAGCTAGTAAGACCTATGCAACGGTTAACAGAAAAGAGTTATAAAGTGCAAACAGAAAACAAATGATATACGGACAGACTGTAAATGAAAGGCATTACCTGCACACACAGTCCTGATGAGAGGAAGAGGAAGGGCACACTCAGCTCAGCCTCAGTGGCGCCCTCATCCTGAGGAGAGCAGTAATAACAGGAGTCAAACTGTATCACACCGAAGAACAACACAGCTACTTACCAAATCTGAGTTGGAATTAAAATGTTAAATTATCATGAGAAGAAATGCAAGAGCAGCTGTATAAGAAGAGCTAGTTTAGTGACTATTGTACAAAAATATTTGACTGCAGAATGCTGCCATTAATCAATGAAAATGAGAAAGAACTGCATAGAGCGATTAAAAAAAGCATAAGCACATGATTGACTGGCTGACCTTGTAAAAGGTAACTTACTAGCGTAATATCTACTATTTAAAAACATTTTAAAATTGTACATTTTATCATCAATGTCTTGAGCCCTGTTGTAAAAACTTCATAAGTGATGATTTGCAACGCTCCTCAGTGATGCAGATTTGAAAATTATTATGTTGGGAATAACTATTATAATTACTATTATTATAGATAACACTTGCTCTACCTTCATGTGCTATTACTACAAAAAGGCTCCAATATCTTTTGAAATACTGAATAATGTCATTTAAACTTTATAGATGTAAACATAATATAAACACATTACACAGCAAAGGACAAATGTGGCAGGGGCTTTAGCAACAGATGCCCACAGAGTTGTCACATATGAGCTTCTTTCACATTCTTTCTCATGCATTGCTGAATGCAAACACTAACTGAATCTGGAATGAAACTCTTTAAACAAAAAGGAAATCTACTAACCACCCGGCGTGAGACGACGTTTCCTTGAGATGAACACGTCTCTCCCTGTCTGGCGCACAGCTGAGCAGCAAACGACGCGGCGACGCTGAACCTCAGGTGCAGGTGCAGAGATCCAGGAACGACCGCCACGCTCCACTCAGAGCGGCCCTCTGACACAGAGAGAGAGAGTCAGACAGACGCCAGCACACCACACCACATCACACTCGCTCCTGCACTCCTCACCTGACTCGAACGGACAGAAGACCTGACCACTGCCATTTAGAGAAAACTGCAACCAAAACATCATACACGCATGAGAAACGCAAACATCTGGATCATGCATTAATGTGTGCTTGAGCATGCCTTACCTTCACACACATCTGAGGGTGTTTATCCACAGCAGACACATTATATTGCTGTTGAAAAAGCGAAATGCGGTTATGTTGCGCATAACATACTGTCATCCAATACACTGCATATACTGGGCAAAGTATGCACAAAATACTTCAGTGACAAAATGTACAGTATATGCATTGCATCCAATTGACGTTGCATTTTTAGGTGCAATCATTCTTGATGCATTTGTTCGGACTGTTAAAAACTATTTTGTAACATAATGAGGTCATGTGACAACTACGTAACATACTGCCACCTCTGTTCATCTCTGCACTTATGATGTTGGTGGGATCGTCACGTACCCGTCTGGTCCCGTGGAGGGTGGCGTTGGGGGCGGGGACACAGTAAGAGCTCTGCGTGTGGATTCGCCAGCACAGAGACACGGAGGGATCTGATTGGTCAGCGGGGCAGCGAGGCTTCCACTCCAGAACAGTGCCACGAACTTCAACTGAGCTGGAGGACAAGATATCTCCTCCATCTGCAGGAGCAGCACAGAGACGACGATGCCGTCAGTCAACCACACCACAGACACAGCTTACACTAGAAGTGCAAAGGTGACGTGATGGCGCCGTTGTGTGGCTTGCCGTCTGCTCCCTTCTTAGTTTGTCTATTTTACTGTTTTTTTTCACCGAAGTGAAGTTGTTTCACCGCTTATAGTATATGACCGTCAAACGCTTTTAATTTTGCAAATCTCTACAGATGCGTTGTTTAACCAAGTTCAGAGAGGCCCATATCGTTCTCCCCTCTACCTTCATGTCTACGCCGAACTCCTTACCTGGGAAAAGATGCCGCAAAAGACGGGGGAAACGAGGAGGCTTTGCCGTCAAGATCAAACTCCTGCTGGTATCAAAAAAGAGAGTTCAGACCCCGTTTGATCATCCCAAATCATGATGTGGATCTCAGACGTTTTGTCATATGGCGTCTATCGGATCCTGTCCGTTCCTGGATTATTCCAGCTCTACCAACTGCCTCTGATCAGCTACCCCAGCCCCGTTCGCCTCGTCTTCGACGTGGCGGTGTGCGTGTGCACAATCTCCGCTCACAGGTAAGGATGGCTTTGGTCAATGCAAGATCAGCTGTGAATAAGACTTTTATCCTCAATGACTTTTTCACTTCGCGTTCTTTGGATTTTCTATTTGTTACAGAAACCTGGTTCACTGCAGGGGATGTGAGTCCGTTTTCAGGATTGTTACCTGACAACTGTACATTTTTAAATTCCCTATGAACTGTGAGAAGGGGTGGAGGATTGACAACTATATTTAAAGAGAATTTTTCTTGTCAGGTTTTAAAGACGGATGCGTATAACAGTTTTGAACTTCAACTCCTGGCTCTGGGCTCTGTTAACCCATTGGTGACTGCATTGATATATCGACCCCCAAAACCTCACAAAGACTTTCTTGCTGAATTTTCTGAGGTTTTAAGTGGTATTATTCCTAATTTTGATAGGCGTTTAAACCTTGGATATTTCAATGTTCATGTGTGGTGCTGTCCCAGAACTTTATTAGCCTTATAGACTCATTTGATCTAGTTCAACTGGTGAAAGGTGCCACTCATTCACTTGACCCTGTGCTGTCCCGTGGTTTTTCAGTGCTGGACATTGAATTAGGTGATTACAGTTTCTCAGATCATAAACCTATTTTATTTACTGTTCCTTTGTCTTCTCCTGTTGTTAAATCATGTAAACCTGCCTGTATGACTCGTATAATATCTTCCACCACTAGTGATACTTTCACATCAATGTTCCAGGAGTTTTCTCAATCTCTAGTCTCCTTTTCATCTGATCAAAGTGCCGAAGAGCTTATTCATTGTTTTAATGATGTCTGCACTAACATTTTGGATTCTGTAGCTCCTCTGCAGCTTAAAAAATCCAAACCTAAGTCTGTACCCTGGTTAAATGATACTACACATGCTCTTAGACAGACTTGCAGAAGAGCTGAAAGAATGTGGAAGAAAGACAAGCTCCAGATTTCTTATGAAATCTTAGTCTTCTTTATCTCAATATCAGTAATATATAATAATAAGTGCCTGGAATCAGGAATTGTACCTGATTGTTTAAAGCATGCAATTGTTTAACCTCTTTTAAAAAGTCCTAATCTGGATCCAACAGTTTTATCTAATTTTAGGCCCATCTCTGATATTTATTTTTTATCCAAAATTTTGGAGAAAGTGGTTTTTCCCCAGCTGCAGAGATTTTTGAATGACAGTAAGGTTTTTGATGCTTTCCAATCAGGTTTCAGAAAGTTTCACTCCACAGAGACAGCACTTGTAAAAGTTTTAAATGATGTTTTAATGGCCACTGACTCAGGTGACTCTGTTGTACTGGTACTATTACATTTTACAGTAAAGCATTTGGTACGGTTGACCATGAGGTCTTGCTTGCTCGGCTAGAGCAAGTTGTGGGCATCAGAATATCAGCATAAAGTTGGTTTCAGTCATATCCTAAAAATAGAAGCTTCTCAAACAATATAAGACGATGTTATACAGAGGCAGTCCCCCTGACTTGTGGGGTCCCCCAAGGTGCCATTTTGGCCCCTTTATTGTTTTCTTTATATATGTTTTTGAAAAGCATGGCTTGTATTATCATTGCTATGCAGACGATACTCAACTTTATTTGCCCCTGAAGCACAAAAATGGCTTAGACTCCCTCTGTGCCTGTCTTTCTGATGTCAAAGCCTGGATGTCTTTGATTTTTTAAAATCTAAATGAAAAGTAAAACAGAGATCATTGTGGTTGGCTCTTCTGAAGTTCCAAACATTTCTCATTTAAATTCTGGTGTTTTATCTTCTTCAGTTAAATCATGTGTTGGGCGTCTTATTCGACAGTGCACTTAAATTTGATAGACAAATAAATTTAGTTGTCGAATCAAGTTTTTACCAACTAAGAGCATTGGCTAAAGTGAAGACCTTGATTTCTTTTAAGCACTTTGAAACTGCACTTCTTGCTTTTATTTCTTCTAGAATTGATTATTGTAATTCCCTGTATCTGGGAATAAACAATTCTTCAATATCCAGATTACAAATGGTCCAAAACGCGGCTGCACGTCTTTTAACCGGTGTTCGCAAATATGAACATATCCCTCCTGTGTTAATGTCTTTACATTGGCTCCCAGTCTGCTTTAGAATTGTTGCGTGAACATCATCCGCTAAGAACTCTTAGCTCTGCCAACCAGAGTTTAACTGTTCCAAAGTCAAAATTAAAATCTAGGGGTGATCGAGCTTTTGCCATAGCCGCACCTAAATTTGAAACACGTTACCGATCCATATTAGAACTGCACCAACATTACATATTTTTAAATCAAAGTTAAAAACTTATCTCTTCACTATAGCCTATGACTTGTGGTGTCGTTTGTTGTGGTTTGTATACATGTTTATATAAGTCTTTTTAGAACATCGTACAGCACACATTGGTCAACTGTAGTGGTTTTTAAATTGTGCTTTATAAATAAACTGAGACTGAGACTACACTAGACAACACTGAGCTGGTTGGTGTACAAGTCTTACAGTTTCTTGAATGCAGCTTCACTGCGTGACTGATTTGAAACGCTCTATATGGACAGCAGCTCACTGCCACACAAACAGTGTTCTTCATGCTCCAACTCAAAAATATAATACAGCTGTTCATTGGACATTTTAAATATATATTTAAATATCTCATCTTTGAAATTTTTCACTAAACTGGCTGCATAGCAGTTCCTTCTCTGTGATCGATACATGTCACGCTGCCTGAGTGCGGTCAGAATGTATGGAAGCTTGTTTCTTCCACAGAATAAAAAAACAAATAAATAAAAAGGGAACTGCAACTTTTCGCTCACAAATTTGACTTTTTTTTTTGTTGCAGTTATGTATACCTCAGATTGGGATTGTGCAACTTTAGGCAGAATAAACATATGGAAGAAAGACTGATGCAGACCTGCCAACCTTGGAAATTTTTTTCAGTACCATCAGTGCGGCTGGGGGGTTGCAAGATTTAATGTTAAATATATTTTCTATTCTTTATAGGTTAATAATCAGGGTCTGCACTCAGTTTGTGATATTCCTGTTATACAGTATTTTAGAGTAAACAGTAGGGATGCAACAATACAGTTAGCCCACGGTTCAATAAATACCTCAGTTTTTTAATTTTTTTACCACAGTTTTTGGTTTAGTTATTTTTTGCTATTTTTAAATGCTATTATTTTTATGGATTGGCCATTATTTAGTGCTATGAACACATGTAATGTGTGTTTCATTCACACTGGACGCCTGAGGGCGCCCTCGCGCAGAAAATCCACATATGCATCACCGAAGAAATAGAACTCAGGACGCTCCAGGAAATCCCTAATATGGACAAAAACAGCCAGCTATCGCTGTAACTGAATGAAAGAAGACAGAAACGCTTTGAATGATGACATTCAAAAAGAACATTAAGATAATAAACACTGTACTGCGACAATGCAGGGGTTAAAGCAAAAAAAAATCTTTTGACTGAAAATTTTTCCTCAGCCAAACCCCATTCCACAG